TTAGATTCTCCAAGCATATCCCTAAAGTCTCCATCTGAAAGACAGCAAAGTATTCTCAAGTTCAATCGCCAGACACCTAATTGACCGACACAGGACATACAGTGGAAATTAGTCAGGCTTTGCCAGACCTCTGTGTACAAAAGAAGTACGTATAATCCCTACTTCTGCCTTGTTTATTTAGTTATTTTATGTACCTTTCCCTTATTACTACGATTATTTTTATTATCATTATTACTATCCTCACTCTAAATCTTTTCCACTTGACCTACTTGTCATTTTAAACCCAAAATTATTTATTTTTACAATATTGAATTCTACCTTATCAAATTTCACACCATGTTATGTAACATTATATATTCGTCTACTAATCTTATAATTATGTACCTCTTTCCAAAATCTATACACCTTATGTATTATTCTATATATGACATTAATTATTTTGCCACTTGACATTTAACTATGATTATAATCACAAATATTTTAATTGCATTTCATACTATCATTATTTCATGTATTCCCAACGTTTTACCAGGACGATCAAGAAAACTTTCTACTCTGTACGTCTGTGTCTATCCTTCACTAGCCGTCCAATGTTCACCCAGCAACTCAAAGATGTCTTGCCTAACCTTACCTCTTCTTCATGCATATACCATTTCAACTGTTCCTGTGCTTCAAGTTATATAGGGCGCACGATTAGGCAGGTTCGTCTACGGGTTCAAGAACGCTTACCAGCTTGGTTCAGCAGGGGGGAAATTAAATGTATAAAAAGCTCGGTTCTGTCACACCTGGTCGATCAACACACAGCTTTCAGGGGTTATATACCGAATTCCGAAGTCGTTATCACGTACAGTTCACTTACGTCTCCTACACATAGCTGAAGCTGTTGCACAATAAGATCGACTAAACAGGAACTTTGTATCCAATATGAACACGTCCAGACGCTGTTCCTACCGTGGCCAAACTTGGATTGTTGATTCTTCCTCTCACCAAGAGTGCTCCTTCGCCTTCACCCTCTTGGTTTTTTTCTTTTTTACTTTGCTTAATATTATAAATATTATTATTACAGTTATTATTATTCGTCATAATTAATGCCCTTTATGCAAACATTCCCTCAATACTATCGAATTTTCATTTATACAGGCTTATTATTAGTGATATTATCTGTTTTCTCAATATATGCCTCCACCTGTTTCACTTAACATATTCGTTATCTCACTATGATCCTCTCATTCCAGTCTTACTACCTCCTGTTTAACTCAGACCACTTTGTACTAGCCACTCTACTCAGCTGACACCTGATATAACCTTGAACTGACTTGTCAATTTTCCTACCCCACACTCTACAAATCTATTGTGATTAATTACCACCATTGTCTCCCGTTTTACAATATTTTCTATTTTTTTTTTTTTTTTGAGATTTGGCCAATTGCCGGGGCGAACCCTGGACCATATGCATGGTCAGCTAGAGTCCTAACCACTGTGCCACCGACGCCTGTTTCAGCCTAGCACGTTTGTCACACAAATATGACTATTTATTTTGACACCCCATAACTACTAATCGGTTATTCTACGTTAAAAATCTACCCGCTGCATAACTGGCCTTTATTGTAACGACCACAAATATTATATTTTATAATTGTAAGAACCTGAAGAGAAATTATTGAAAAGAATATTCTTCGTTCAGATTGACTTTTAATACACACCTTTGACCTGATTCCCGAACCGGATATAATTTCTTTATAAAACCATATATATATATACGATTGTACAGTTTGATAACGAATCCGCTGTTGAAGAATCTCTTCGCTGAATATTGTGTTCCTAATTAATACATTCAGTTGAAGGTCAACTTTTCGCAGACCTTGGACTTTGGTTATGATAGTTTAAACCTCGCACCCCCCTCCTTGATCTATTTACTGGTTGGTTGGAAGTTGAATACTTTGGGTCAATAAACCACATATCTCAACCATTTGGTTCCCCTGGTATATTTCCATAGAGAGAGAGAAAGACCAGATTTGCAGTAAAAAATGATATCATCATTCTATTTGACCGCCTTAATGAAATCCACCCAAACATTAAATTCACTATGGATTATGAAAACAACGACGAGTTCCATTTCTTGAACCTAAATGTAAAAAGAAGAAACGACGGAACGGTTGAAAAGTTTATCTACAGAAAAGAAACCTGAACTGGACAATACCTTTACTACAACAGCTTCTGCCCTATTATAAGCTATAAGCGGGGCCAGGAAGTTATGTTCGCCTGACAGGGTAGAAGAAGAATTAAGCTTTGTTGAAAAATGCCTTAAGGAAAATGGGTATCCCAAAGGGATTTATCCTAAAGTACAGCAAAGAAAGAGATGAGAAAGAGAAGTATCTAACAGTTGAAAAGAAGAAAGCGTTCATTTGTCTCCCATACAAAGGAGAAACAGTATCACAAAAGATTGAAAAGAGCAATAAAAAGGTGCTTCCCTGAAGCTAAGCTTGTGATACTATACAGCATTACATGCTCTATAAGCCAATCGAAACTGGATAAGTACCCTGCTGATGTTACCTCCAACTTCATTTATAAATGTACGTGCACCTGTGGCAGCAGGTACATTGGAAGGACAGAAAGAATGGCTTCTATCCAGTTTTCAGATCATATTCCGAGAAACTTATGCTTAAAAGGAAGCAGATATTTACAAAGTTCAATTACCAGATACCCACCCTGTGGATACGGGTCACTTTGTCGAGATTTCCAAATCCTTTAAAATATTAAACATACATTGAACAGCGAATCTACTACGGTTTACTGCTGAAGCAATTGCAATCAAACGTTTGAGACCAAACTTATGCATACAGAGAGTGTAGTCAATCTATCACTCCCTTGGTAATCGTATTACTTTTATTACATTGATCAGTCATACACACTAGTGAGCTCAGCTCACTAAGCAAAATTTCAATTTGATGAACTTTAACCTTCTTCAGTTGGCATGTTGGCGTACAAGCTAACACCACTTATTAGATTTTTCTGTCTTCTCTCATCCCAACTTTTTTTTCATAGTTCGATAGCAATAAATTGATGGTAACTTAAACTAAAAGTTGTAATGCTTATATTCTGGATGCGTTCACTTTACAGTTGAAGTATGAACTGTTGCTATTTATAACCATTGTAATTTCAGGTAGTTTGCAGTTGATGAGGACTTGTGAAATAGAATGATGCTATCATTTTATACTTGTCCCAGTGGCTGAATGGTATACTAGCCTGCTTGCTTGTAACCGGAAGGTCCTGGGTTCAAAACCCCTGTGGTGAGTGCACACTGCCAATGATTCCCAAACTAGGATGAAACAGCAGCTGTCCAGTACTCCCTGGTGGTTCTTAATGCTTCTCTAGCTGATATCAATCCGTGATCAACTCGGGATTTTCCCGTCGATTGATTGGACTGAAGTGCTCGGTCTCAGTTTGACATGTCGGCTTCTGGTGCAGACGCTTCGACGATATTTGGGCATTTAGTTGGTATTTAACTGGTGGATGGTGACTAGCAGTGGAAACCAAAATGCGCGGTGGAACAATGGTTAGGACTCTCGCCGATCATGCACATGGTCCGAGGTTCGATCCCCTGCCGATGCACACCTGATATCTATGGTCAGCCTGCGAATTTTGGGCTACCAATATCACATGCTGAAAATACGGTGTGGAATCAAGCTGTAATCAAAAAAAAATTTGGTCTTTCTTTCTCTATCGAAATAAAAGATTCGTCCATCTATGAACTATCGTTTAGCACTCCCAGAAATAAAGGATATATAACTTGAATGATATATATATGTCTATATTTATAATAAAGTAATATTAGGTCAGTTGAATTTTTAAAAAATATCACATAGGCCTACTCATACAAATTGAGTAGTATGTAGGATAGACAATGAGGTGTAGTCAAATTATGATTATCATTCAGAAAGTATAGATCAGATTGCATGAATCAGAACAAATAATGAAAAAAAGAGAAAAATTAAAAGAAGCCAAAAAAAGTCAAGCAAATAATAAAAACGAAAGCAACTGAAAGAACCCCCTCAAGCACACATGCACACGATAAAATAGGGGGGGGGCGTAAAATCTTAAGAACCAAAAAGAAGTAATTAAGTAGAACAAAAAATAATAAAAACGCAAAATAAAAATCAGAAAATATAAATAAATTAAATCATACAGAAGAAAACATTTGAGATCATGAGGTGACAGTTCCATCGAAAACAAGGAGGGGGGACAGGAATGCCAGTTTAAAAAAACATCACTTTAATAAGTAACAAAGTAACAGCAACGGATTGATTTATTTTCCCTAGACAAAAGGTGAGGAGGAGGGGGTCCGAAGGACGGCGAGGAGGAGGCACCCAACCAATCAAACATCCACTCATACATACACACACATACAGAGAGAGAGGTTATACAAGATGGCAATTAGGGAAATGGCAGGGCGGAATGACACCGACACCCACACACACACGCAAGCACACACTGGCACCTTCGAGCTTGTGCTTTAGGCGTTCCGGTTGCTATGCTCACACACCAAACAACCTCCCACCCCACTTCTTTCACCGGGATTACTACTACACATCAGCGACCTAGCGAGGGGTTAGTTAGAGGCAGTGTCTGAGGTAGCTGGGGGATCCCGTACCCCAGAGACTACCACTACCACCACCACATGAGGCGGTGTGGTTGGATCACAAGAGGAATTTAAAGAAGGAAGGAAGGAGAATTTAAACAAACAAAAAAATTAATAAACACACAAGTAAACATTATGCAATGATAAAATGCTGTTGTCCAGTTGTTTACAAAATCACATTGTATACAATATTACGTAATATTACAGATAAATGGAGAGTATTCACAGTTCTTTGCTTTGCCTTTGCCACTCTGTACACACATATGAGAGTATAATACGCAATAATCTCTGATTCATATTACACTAAATCAATAAAATATAAATATAATACAAAAAAGAGTGCACAAATTGAAGTATTGTTTTATGATGTAGAAATTACTTCATCGGTTGAAGTATTGCTCGTTGTCGGTTTATTATTATCACCAGTATTATTATTATTATTATTATCATTACTGTTATTATTTCCTCGTTTCCATAAACATTCAGGATCAAAGGGTGAATGTACAATCACTTGAATAATAAAACCTTTGGGTATATAACATTCTTTCAACAGCAATTTATTCGGTAAACATCGACCATAGACAAACCAACGTTGACGTAATTCATGCCAACCACATAATGCGGCGAATAAACGTTTTATTTCTAATATAGTCATATTTTCATTATCAATTTCCAGTGTGAATTGTTCCCCTGTAGATAAACGTAGATTAAGACAATTTGACGATGGCGACGACGACGATGCTGCCGCCGTCGGTGATAATAATGTTGAAGAGTTTACATCTGTTGTTGTTGTTGAGGTGATAAATCCACCACACATTGATTGATTATATACACGTCGACGGCATGGATTAAAATTCCACTGGAACCAACGCGTAGATGTTCGTCGGTTACGATTTCTAAGATTATGATTAGTAGTAGTACTATTTCTATGACATAATGACGTGAATAAAGATAAACATCCACAGATATCATTATTATTCGATGTATGATTACTACCCGGTCTGATATAATCACATTGTTGATTTGAAGGAATTATTGAACTGTTAGCACTACTACTTATACTACTGCCATTATTATTATGAGTAGTATTATGTACAATAATATTTGAATTTCTAAGTAAAGGCGAGGCATTGTTATTATTTTGGTGTTGCTGTGAATGCATACTTTGTGTATCCGATGTCGAATGGTCAGATATTAGATTACTTGGTTGACTGAGAACATACAAAGGGAGTTGATAACGTGCACCAAGTTCATCATAACAATCACATAATGTTCCTAGAGAGAGAGAAAGAGACAATAGAGAAAGCTATATCACCAAAAATGAAACGGGAACTTATTAGTTAGTTAGTGAACCAGACAACACAAATCAATTATAAGTCAATAAATGGGCCAAGTTAAACTTTAGGCACTACTAACTACCAATCACCGAATGACCTTGAATGGTCCAATCAGGATCATGCAAATGAGTTCAAGGTTGTACTCCGCTTGATTCCAGTCAAATGCTAGCTCTGACGAAGTTACGCTTGCAGTTCGATGAGGATAAAGTTTTACAGTATTGCCTAGATTTGGGGTTGCTTAAAAAGAAGAGGGTTTGTTTATGTGGAGGCATCATGAGTTTAAAAAGCTTTAGCAAATCGATCGATGGATATGCTCATCGTTGTGCAATTTGCTTGAGACGAGTTAGTATTAGGGAAGGTAAGCTGATAATTTTAATATTTCGTAGGAACATTTTTTGCTAGGTTGCATCTCTCCCTAACACAGATTTTGTATATTTGTGATTACTGGGTTTTAAAACAGCCTGTGACAGGCGCAACTGCTGAAACTGAAAATAGCCTCGTGTCAATAGCGCAGCGGTACCAGCATTGCAGAGACGTCGCCTCATGGAAAATGGAGAGAATTACTTCGTTGTTAGGCGGAGAAGGTTTCGTCGCACACGTGGATGAAACTGTCTTATTGAATAAAAAGTACAACGGTGGTCGTGGGCAAGTCAAAAATGTTTGGGTGATCAGTTTGTACGACACCTCCCTGCCAAAAGGATTCGTGGAGAGAATACCACACAGAAAGTCTACTACCTTAGTACCTATTGTCACTCCACTGGTGAAACAGGGATCTATAGTACATACTGATGAATGGAAAGGTCATAACTCGCTGTTATCCCTTCGACATATTCCTCACAGAGTGAACCATTCCAGTGATTTTGTGGATTCAATTACAGGGACACACACGAACTCTGTAGAAGGAATATATGGGGAATAAATGTACAGAATGTGGTGTAACTTTTCTATTGACACTCCTATGCTAAACTGAGAGATGTTTTTTTCACATCTTAAAGAAAGATACCCTATGTAACAGTTTTATGCAGTTTTTACGCTTTTTTCCCGAAAACAACGTTTACCATAATAAAAATTCCCTGTTTCATGTGATTTGTTCTTTGAAGGTCGTTCGCTGATTGGTAGTTAGTAGTGCTTAAAGTTTAACATCGCCAAAAAATGTTTCCAGGCTTTCCAATAGTTCTCTAACGGATGATGTCAGCTCACGATGAAAACCTGTAACCAATCAGCCAAATCCCTAAAAACGAATACCTGAATGTTTTCAACTGTTCGTTTTCGGCGATTTGACTACGTTCTCTCCTACGTGTTAAGTGGTATAATACGATGAGCAAAATTGAAGTTAGGCTACAGTCAAGTGCTAGGGGAAATCAATCGACGAGGCTGTGAAGCACAGCTGCATCGAGTTAGACGGTTAATGCATGTATTACGCATGCATCCCTAGCCATCGATCGTCTTCCTCAACAATGGGCAATGTTAGCTGACTGATAAAGAATGGATCAGGTTGGGAAAGAAACAGTGGTGGTCAAACCAAAACAATGCGTCGTCAGCCAGTCAATTCCACGATAGTTAGCTTAAGCCAGCCGCGCAGGGAATTGTAGAATGCCTAACTGACTGGCTTGGGTCCTCTGCGTGGTAAGAACCGATAAAGGTTAGAGATAATTGGTGATACGGCTTAAAATCGTTGACATTAGCACAGACGCATTCACGCTTTGTGATTCATAGTATCCAATAAAACTTCATTGTTCTTCCACATTACTATTCTTTTTCTCTAAATCACTTCTGTTTATTGTCTCTCTCTACTCTTGCTTTGTCCGCTACATGGGAGAAGTGTGACAGCCAGGACTGCTGCATTTCTGTGCAAAGTTCTACGATGAAACCAGTCAATCAGGGATTTGACTGACTTTGAGTTTAATGACAAACTAACTTCACTTACAGAGCAACTGAAGACCAGGAGGGGTTACTGGAGAGCTGTTCTTTTCTGCTCAGGACTCTTCGGCGGTACGCAACCACCAGGGATTGAACCCACGACGTTTAGGTTGCAAGGTGAGTTTATTGGCCATTGAGACACTGAAAAGGGATCTATTGACCACTGAATTCTCAATTCTCTCATATCGTGAGTTATACAGGGCAAGCAACAGTCATTTTCATCATCGGTAAGTATTTGTCGTCACACCCGACTAGTCACAACTTCTCTCACAAGTAGTATAGATGAACATTGGCTTCATCTGCAAGATGCCATGCAAACTGTGAGTGTAGCCACTAGCGGTCACTAGGTTTCTGCGACTTCCTTGCAACTCCTGGATGAACGTCGGTCCATCCTGGCTGTCAGCGAATACAACAATATGCGAAAAGTGCATACGCGCAAGATTAGACAGTGTTAACTACTAGTCAGTAGGTAATTCTGAATCCAAGACTAAATACTAGACATAAAGCTGACAGTAAGTTTCAAATGCAAGAACCTGAAGTTAAAAAATATATGCACTCTGTGTTCATCATATGCGAACAATTATTAATTTTGATGACAGTTTACCATAAAAGTGCATCCACAATCTCACTATACTATTCTACTCCTACTTCTCCTTCCAAATACTTATCTTTATTTTAAAATGGTTAGTCTCTATAGTTAGACAGCTTATGATGTTCAGTTTAAATTTCTAGCAAGTAATCTTCTGTATTTACTTTCCCATCTCATCTTTTAATGCTTTATAAAAATCTTCCATAAGTGTGACAGCTACTTATACTCCGGACCTGTGCCACAGACTGTTGTCATCAATGGCTTTCTGTGAAACTGATAAATGCATATTCATTATGTATCCACTTTTGTACGACAACGCAGCATGCCAAGTAATCCACGACGGGAAACTTACGGAATCCTTCGAAGTAAAGACGGGAGTAAGACAAGGCTGGCAGCCTACTATCTCCAGTGATTTTCCTGATTGCTGTAGACTGGATTATGCGATAGACAGACAGCGGGCAGCGAGAAATCAGGCATAAAATCGACCCACACAAAGACAAACCTGGAGGATCTGGAATTCGCCGATGGTATATGTCTAATTTCCCTCAAACTTGAACATACGCAAATGAAAGGCAACAAGTTGGCGATAGAAGAAGCATTCAAAGAAGATAGGTCTTTAGGTGAACATAGAGAAAACAGATGCAGGTGATGAAGATTCCTGGCCAACAGCAACATCAACAACAACAGATAACAATCAGCATAAATGAGAGAAATCTGAAAGAAGCAACCTTCTCTACCTGCCTACCCACCTACCTGGGAAACATCGTTTCAACTACAGGTGGACGGAACTGATGAGGATATCAAAGCGAGGATCGGAAAAATAAGGCAAGCCTTCATTACTTTTAAGTCTGCGTGGAAATCAACATCATTGAGTATGAAAAATAAGATCCAGATTTTCAACTCTAATGTGGCGTCAGTTAGTGCTACTATGCGGATCAGAGACTTGGCTAGCGCGTCATAAAGAGCATCTCAAACAAACTACAGACCTTCATCAACAGTTGTCTTCACTCAATACTCAAGATCAGATGGCCAGCCAGAAGAGATAAGCAACAGGGATCTCTGGCAATGGGCGAACCAACCAGGAACCGATTGTGAAACAAATAGGCAGGGAGAAATGGAGGTGGATTGGTCATACTCTGAGAAAACAAACCATCAAGTGACATCACTAGACAAGCCATCGCTCGAGTGGAACCTGAAAGGGAAGTGGCGAGTTGGTCGTCCCACGGTGGGGTGACTTGGAGGAGGTCATGTGAAGAGGAGATGAAAGCGTGTGGGCAGACTTGGAGCCAGGTGAAAACTCTAGCAGAGTACTGAACGCAATGGAGACGTTTGGCTGAAGCCCTATGTTCCTCTAGGAATTAAAGAAAATAATAATAAATCCACTTCTGTGCGGCAAACAGCTGCATTTTGGAGAAGAGAAGTAAGCTGATGACGTTATACCACAATAGTCACACTACTCCGATTTCTAAAGTCATTACCAACACTCGCATACCTACAAACCCACCTACTTATCTCCTCTAGTCTTCTACAATCTCTGTATACATTTCCGATAAAAGGTACAAAAACAGCTAATTGTTATACATATATTTGAAAACAAGGAAGCGAAATTAGTGGACATACCAGTTGGTAGAGTAATACATGCACCGTCTAAAATGGCTTGTGCCATATCATAATCCTGTTTCTCAAAAAAATCTGCTACCACTTTTAAAGCATTCCATATTTCAATCCTTCCTTCAAACGCTGGAGCTGTATCCCAAAATTCGTCACGCTTTTTTTGTAACTGACTTAATGAAATCGGGTATGTACTACGCCAATGAGGCGAAACTCTCTTCAGTGGTTTATTTTTACCTAAAAATATGTAAAAAAGCAGAAGAGATTAGAAGTGAAGATGAAAGATCGATAAAGGCAAACAAAGAAAAGTCTCCTTCTGCCACTTCTATCACAAAATTAGTAGGGGTTAAAGTAGCGAGTCAGAAACATTTTTCCGAAAAACCATCAAATCAATTTCACAGTAACTCGTTAAGCTCATGATTCCATGTCATATACATTAATGGACCGAATAATATATGTAATCATTGATGAAACCGTCAACAGGCAATGGTAGCTGACATAGGATCAGGTTGGAAAAGAGAAAGCCAGTGGTGGCCAATCCAAAACATGGCTTCATCAGTCAATGAAAACCACAACAGTTAGTTTGAGCCACGTAGGAAAGTGTAGACTTCCTGATTTGTTGGGGTCCTCGGGACGGTAAAGACCAATGACGGCTGGAGGTAATTGGTGATATGGCTCAAAATCGTCATTCTCAATGGTACAGATGCATCCACTTCTTGTGACTTATAATATCCAATAAAACTATATTGTTCTTCGATATTACTATATCTGTTTATTATATCTGTTTTGAATCTATTTTGACTTTCTTCTCTTGCTTTGTGAGCTAAGTGAAGTGTGGCAACTCCAACTGCTGCACATCGGTGCAAAGTTCTATGTTGAAACCTGTCGGTCAGTCAGTCAATCCATATTATGTACATTTCATCAAACTTAAGCATTATTGTTACCTGTCTGCATGCAGTTCAGTCGCGTGTTTTAAATTTAACTGAGCTGAATGTATAGTGCTTCACATACTGAATTAAACCTTTACACCGATAAGACAAGGATGAACAAGAAGAAGTGAAGTCACCGATCCAATTTTCAACGTAGAAATTAGCGCTACAGTGTAGTTACAATACTTCTTTAAAAAAAACACGTGAGCGCAGTTAAAGAAACGCGACAAAACTAAAAATTAACAGAGAGGATTTATTATATATGAACTAGTGAAAACGATGTTTTGAGCCTTATTATTAACTGCTTTATGCTACTAATTCTTAGCCTCTCCAGAACAACTAGCCAAGAACTCTACACCTTCCAGCCAAAAACTTCATGAATTGAAGGCAGATTTTGGCTTGACTATTAATTTTTTTCTAATTAAACACTATGCTACCTCACAAAGATCAAAAGGAGAAGGTGAACGTAACATATGTCTTAGTCGCCTCAATCGATGAAGCTTCACAAACTTGATGGTTGATTATCCCAATCGACAGCTGCCACCTTGATATGGTGGTTGAACGTGCATATCCCGAGGACTAAACGAGCTACGTTGGCTGAAACTAATGTTTGCGCACGTCCTATCACACTAGAAAAGTTGTCTGGATGGCGATTAGACCAAAATTAATTGCCATCATAGTGAAGTTTGCTGACACTATGCGGTAGGTAGTCGTACTACTGGAAAACAGGCAAGTAACAGCAGTAAGGTGTTTCCCTTACAGAATGCCAACTATGCGGTGTCTTAGATATGGAGACGGGAATTAGAGAGGAGTGACTCCGGAATTTCTTCATCCTGACTTACCGTAGACGGAGGTAAGATTTTAATGAGGACGAAATTCTAGTAACTAGCCAACATACTTAACCACGCCACACACTATACTTAAAACGGGAGTCAGAAGAGACCAGTATAATAGCGTTTGACAAGATCTCTATTAATATTTTATTTCATATATTTCATTAACAAAACAAATTCGGTGCAAGCTTGGCATCAACAAAATGCACGAACTTACCGACTTTCTCTAAAATTTTGTTTGTGAGGATGGGTAGGGGTGTGCTTTCTGCTAATCTTGAAACAGCACTTAGATGGTGCAAACCACACATCAAACTTACAAATAGTGACCACTAAATGGTTAAGTGTGATTTCAGAGAAGCCATACTAGCTGCACATTCAAGAGTGAATAGTTTTCTCTAATTTCAACAACAAGTAAGGCACTCCTACTGTAAACCACACAGGCTTTATCGTGGGTAGCCATGTATTTGTTAGTACCAAATAGTAGAGAACCCCACATCAGTTTTTATAAAATGAAACCTCAAACATTTCCGACAACTTTTCACCTTGGTGTAAGTATGGAGCTTTGGCACTTTGGTAGAGTACATTTCCATCATAGAGTAAAGTTATCTGATGAAATCAGGCAGTAATATGCAGCATCATTAACTGATACATTTCGGGAGCAATTTATTGCTCACAAACATTTCACCGTGTAATTTCTAATACATATAATCTATGATGGAACTTTCCACCCACCTTTAGTTCGTAGGTCGAGATATAACACTGCAGCGTCATATTACATTTTAGAAATGAGGATTACATACTGACGATTATTAAAATCTAAGCTCGCTTAAAGTTCTCAGAAGTCGCTTAGTTCATTCAACATCTACAATTAAAGGGTATATGAAATTCATGTTCAGAGTAAAAAAGCAGCACTAAAATATACATTGAATAAAGCAAACAGCTGTGACACCTATGAGTGTAGCAGAGTTTTCAAGACACTGGAGTATACACAGGATTTATGATTTTAGCTTCGTAGGGCTTTATCTAACCACACGAGAAAAACAGCAAACCACGCCCTAAAAATAGTGTGATGTGACCAAAAACAATAAAATGAATTAATTATTGAAACAACTTAACATTAAAATTGAGTAACTAGGATTCCACAACTAATGTTATTATTCACACTTGTTATTTTGATGAGATGTGTAAAAAATATGAATCAGTACAGTCTACGTCAACGATTTAAAACAATAAGAAACAACTGAAAAGCATAGCTTTACTCACGACTTTGCGTAATTCCACTGGAAGACTTAGGCATTGCCTAAAACTGTTATCACAAAGAGAACATCAGCTGTTCTGAGTTTACGCGCCCCTGAAACTTGCGTGATTTAAACAAATATCACTGATGAAAAGTATTTCATACTTATATGCATTATTTTTATGTGATTAAAGTAAAAATATCCCATATAGTTCATTAAAATTGTCATGTATGTGCCGCGGCATACAAAATGAAGTTCAACAAATAATGCGGTTCTCGTTATGAATTCGTTGGTTGGTACATGTTTCTAAGCTGTTAATTCGGAGTTACACGAAATCCAACCACATTATGGATCCTAATAGCTCAGAAAAGTGAGTGTAAATTATCGCAGGGGTTGTTTTCTGATTGCAAGTTTAATATCTGTCTGATGAACAGATTGCACCACTTAGAATTGTTACTGAGTTTAGATTCGTGTGCTTTTCTTTTGGAACTATTTCCGCCTTATGTTCATTAGAAAATTTTGTGTCATGGTGAATTTTATGTTCTGTTGGAATTGATGTTTTTAAAAAAATGGTTACACCTTAACATATTGGCTATTTACCATCAAAAGTTCCTATTGATATATAAGCAGATTATAAATGCTATCTTCCGCTGGTGGTGGTAGTACTTTTGGTAAAACTTCGGCGTCAATAGGTTTCTCCCGCGAGCGATAATTTACCTTCACTCCTTGTGTGACCAACCTGCAATTTTATAACTGGGCTGTATGTTCTCGTTGAACTAATCTTGTCTCAACTTAGGGTTCTGGAAAAAAGGAATTAAGCTATCACGATGTGAACATGCACACATAAACCTGTTGTCATCAACCATTACTTTAATCTTACTACTACTATTATTAATGCTATAACCTCTTTAGACACTGCACTAGAAGCATCATTCATGATATTTAGAAAACCACACTTACAGTTAAAGATTTCAAAGTCAAAATCGGAGGCTGACCAGATCTGTAATACCTCAAGTTTTGTATGAATACTGCATTTCTGTGACATAGGCATGATATTCAATTTTAGTTGTTCTTTATACCACACCTAACCGATATGCTGAGTTAGGAAAGTTCTTCATAAGAATCCTTAGCTGGTTCTCATGTACTAAAGCTCTAACGCCAAAAATCCACTACTTGATTCAGTTACACAAACTAACCAGAGTTTAGGAGAAAAGCTGTCCAATTTCCCTCAAAACTCAAAATGCCCATGTGTATTCATATTTTTGAGTGATATAAGTGTTCAACTAGGGAAGCCAAGCTAGTGGGTATAGCATACTGAGGTCCTCTACCGGCAAAACCCTATGAATCTGTAAATATGTTAAAGTATTAGTAAATGTATGGAAGCCTGAGTTAGTTCTATCCGACTTGTGTAAATTCTTAATTATCCCAGTTGATAAAAAGGTAGATGAATCGTGTGATAATCACAATGGGATTAGGTTGAATAACATAGTATCTAATATTCTACTTTACGTCGTCCTGCAAACTAGCTATCGCTTTTAGAGACTTCTGAAGTGGAAACAACTAGTGGTGTTCATCAGGAATGTCTACGGTCAGCATTCCTATTTAATTTCATTGTAGACATACTGATGGAGGCAGTCGTAACTGACTTTGATGTGTCAAGAGTTGGTTTGTTACCATTGAAGAGTTTCTTCGATGTGTAGTACGCAAATAAGATTGACCATTTGGGTAAAGGTACTGACAAAATACAATCTGAACATTGTAGAGAAAAATCTAGTACTTTTGCATCTGATTTGCCCCTGTTAGTCGTGAGGTGATACTACGAAACTGATCCACACCAACTACTAGTTTAAGGATAAGAACTAATATAGTGGAATGTGTAGATTATTGATGACATCTCACATGGATGTCGAAGATTTCTTTGATTTTTGCTTTAATACTGCCATGATATTTAAATATCTGTTAAATGCAGTGGCAGGTAAAATGACCAATAAAGCGTTTAGAAATCTAAGAATTTCTCAGAAAAATATGTATCGTTGTGTAAAACACTTTAATGGATGGGTCAAAAAGCCTATACTTTCAGGAAACCTAGCTGCCAGTCAACATCATACACATGTTCTGGAAATTGCCAAACATTTGTCTAATGTAAAATGAGGCTAAACACTAACCTCAACGAAAATTCTATCTGTCAGCCACCTTGGTTTCATGTTTTTTTCCGTTTTATGGGTATCATATAAGTGTTGATTGATATTTCTTGACAGATGAAGCAACAAACATGTATATTGTTTACGGGTCAATGTTGCTAATATTCATTGTTAGTTGTAAGGTTACGATGTGAAGCTCCACTTATTTCTGTATTCCTTCCTGATCTCATTCCCCACACAGTAGTGTGGCGATATAGGTCTGCCTATATGACATCAAGAATGCAAAAGTCATCCTGCTGTGTTACCCAAACAGTAACTAATTAGCTCGGTATCATTGGCTGTAGGAATGATGTGCACCTCATACACAATTAAAATGCAAGTTATTTTTATGCGATAATTTAAAGGTAGAATTTTTACTTATAGTCAAAAAATACACTATTGTAAGCAGTCGAGAATGGCTCAAAATCATTCTCAATGACAGCGCAGATGCATCCACTCCTATTGATTTATAATACCCAATAAAACTATATTGTTCTTCGATATTACTATTCTTTTTGCCTCAAATCTCTGTTTATTATTTCTGTTTTGAATCTCTTCTTCTCTTGCTTTGTGCGCTACATGTGGGGAGTGTGGCGACTCGAATTGCTGCACATCGGTGCAAAGTTCTATTTTGAAACCAGTTGGTCAGTCAGTCGAGTTCTGTCATTTGGTAGTCAGCGTAGGTGTTTACCTTGGTGCTGCGAATGATATTTCAGGCGAAATTTATTAGATATAAATAACCAGTAGAGTAAATAACAGACACAAACTGAGTAAACGATACGTACATTGAACTTATCTAAAGAGTTATAGGGTTGTAAGAAATTCAAAATGTTGTCTTCTTTAAATTCTATCGACTCATAGCGCAGATCCGATCGAATTATATGTATGTTTATACATTTATATAGTCATTCTCATACGTATTTAACATATTTTACTTTCAGTTTTGACTGGGTTGAATTAGTGGATCATAAAACCCAACAGCTAATGTATATCAATTTAAAGTCTGGTGCATGTTTTCGAGATCCTCCGAAGAATGCTAAAGTGTAGGTTATCCCTGTTTATATATGTGTTTATATGCGCTGTTTTATATTTTGGTTTATTTTATTATTATTGCATGGACAAACTCCACTGAATGTGTTACCATATTCACACTATAGTGCCATAAAGAGATGAAAAGCCTGGCTAGCTGTCTTTGACCATAGGTGCCTGCATTTAATCTTCGGTCTTGAGTCCTCCTTTATGTCTGTGAGACCTGGCCATTGGGAGTGGAAGACTGTCTTTAGTCACAGCTGTCTGAGTTCCATCTCTCTCTCTCTCTCTTGTTATTTGGTATAATAAGGTGAGGAATGTTTACGTTATGCCCCAGTCAATTGTTAGGTAAGTGGGAGGAGAAATCAATCGACGAGGTTGTGAAGCAGCTGCATTGATTGAGATGGTTAGGACATGCGTTACGGGTGCCTTCCTCGACAATAGGCGATGTTAGCTGACATGGGATCAGGTTGATAAAAAGAAAGCTAGTGGTGGTAAAACCGAAACATGGCTTCGTCAGTCAATCAAATCCACAACAGTTAGTTTAAGCCAGCCAGTCACGTAGGGAGATGTTGACTGGTTGGGGTCCTCGGGATGGTAAGAACCAATGAAGGCTGGAGACAATTAGTGACCGTATGGCTCAAAGTCGTCGTTATCAATGGCTGGCTCAGATGCATTCACTCTTTGTGATATATAACATCCATATTACTATTCTTTTTACCTCATACTATCTCTTTATTGTCTTCTTTTGGTTTGTGTGCTACAAGTAGAGAGTGTTACAACTCGAACTGCAGCACATCTGTGCAAAGTTCTACGTTGACATAAGTCAGTCAGATTTCCACTTTTAATATAAGATTTGCCCATTTACAATAAAATCAATTAGTGTTTATCTAAATTTGGAGGATACTGAGATGTTGGCTACTTTTGGCAATTTCTGTTGAAGTGATATGGCCTCTCGGCTTAAGTACTTGTTCATAAGTGGGACATAGAAGTTCTAATTTTCTAAACGCTTGCATCGCTACAACCAGTATATAATATTTGATGTATGCTATAAAAACCATTGTTTGAGTTATGGAAGTCAAGTTATCACTGTGGAGTACCACAGTAATGCTCCAATTCTTTTGTGCCGGTACATGTATCTTTTTTGGTATAATAATTTATAAGCCACACGTTAAATATGCTTCCAGTAATGCCTGATTCCTCAAGGCTCGAGTAAGTTGAGACAGGTTTTATCATGCGATCCATCTGTTTGGAAGTTACCTGTTAGGTTCAATGAAACAAACCACTACTTATATTTTAAACACCTACGTGGTCGTGTTCTTAAAGCTAAGGTCTACTTTGAAAAGTATACTATTGTGGGGTTGTCTTTTACTCGGTTATGCCATCTTCGGACATATCCTAAGGATATCATCCCGGCGATCGCCATGCTGTTCAGTGTCTCCTGGCCCTCTTACTGGGTGGCCAAAGTGGAACAGTAGTCAGTCCATGGCATGGTGTAGTAGGATAAAGGATAGGTTAGATTGGGTTAGCATCTGTTGATGCATTCTGTCACCCTGGATGGAATATAAAATTTGTCAGATAAGGTTAAAAGTCGTCACCAATGTCAATCATGCTGCATTTTCCTTATTTCCTATCTTTCTGAAAGTAACACGGAGTAGCGGTAATTTTTGATAAACATGTCTCACTTATTTTCATAATGCTGTCCCTCAGTTATATTTGGTACTTTTCTTTATATTGTTTTTTCTATTGTCTTTGCAATGCGCACCCTTCGAAGCCCCTACTGCACATAGTTTGTGTAATTTGTGTGTACCTGTGTTCGTAATTTTGTCATTAACTTTACTCAAACGAGGACGTCTTGTACTTCTACGTCAGCGAAATATATTAACAGCCAATCCCGTGTTAGGTGGCATAACAGGGTGAGTAATACTGAGATCAGACGTGGAGTGCTAACTAAGGAGGGAAAATTAATCGACGACGCTGTAAAGTTACGTCGATTGTCATGGTTAGGACATGTGTTACGCATACATCCCTAGCCATCGCCTACCTCGACAACAGGCAATGTTAGCTGACGCACATAGGATGGATCAGGTTAGAAAAGTGGTAGCTAGTGCTGGTCAAACAAAAACATTTAGTCAGTTAATGAAATTCATAACAGTTAGTTTAAGCCTGTCGCCACGTAGGAAGGTATAGACTGGCTGGCTGCCTGATCGGGGTCCTCGACACGGTAAGAAACAATGAAGGCTGGTGACGATTAGTGATATTGCTCGAAATCGTTGGTAATGGCTGGTGCATGTAAATTCACTCTATATTTGTCAGTCATATCCAGTGAAGCTCTACTGATCATCCATATAACTATTCTCTTTCTCGCACTCACACTTCCACTAAATGTACTAATGGATTTAACCCTAACTCACTTCAGAGACTCAGGAATTGACTTGCTACCAGGGAATAATCTCGTTGACCTAGAATATGCAGACGATATAATCCTTCTAGGCGAGAACGCTGACAAAATCCAACAGAGTCTTCTGAACACCTTCAGCTACAATCTATGAATATTTGGCATGCAATTTGCTCCCGCCAAATGCAAGATGATGTTACAGGAATGGACTGCACTGACTCCTAGTTTAGAAATAGGAAGTGAAGTGGTAGAATACGTTGATCGCTCCACTTATTTGGGAAGTACCATCAGCTAGTGCCAACGGGTTGATCTCCGACGAAATCTCCGCACGGATACAGAGGGCTAGTTTCGCATATGCCAGTTTATGCCGTCTCTGGCTAAGTAGACGTGATATCCGGCTATCGACCGAAGGGTGGGTGAACTGGTCAGCAGTCCGCTCCGTCCTCCTTTATGGCTGTATGACCTGACCCTTGAGAGTGGAAGACATGAAAATCCTGGCTAGCTGTCTTTGAGCATAGGTTGTTTGAAAACAATTGGTGACATGGCTCAAAGTCGTTCTCAATGACATCGCAGATACATCCACTCCTTGTGACTTACGATTTCCAATGAAACTGTTTTGTTCTTCGTTATTACTATTCCTTTGTCTCACACCTCTGTTTACTGTCTCTATTATGCATTTCTTCTACTTTCTTGTCTTTCTTTGTGTGCTACATGGAGTGTGGCAACTAGAACTGCTGAGGATCTCTGCAAAGTTTTGCGTTGTAACCAGTCAGTCAGTTAGTCAATCAACAGGAAAGCATAAAACTAAGTGTTTGTGTTACTTTCAAACCTTTTCACAGTTATAAAGTTTGTGTTTTGGCCTTCATTTACCACTTTCTCTTATTTCTCTCTACCATTACAGGAAACCAGTATCACCTAATCAATGGTGGGAGTTATTCGATCCAAATGCACAAAGAAATTATTATTATAACAGTAGTACTAGAGAGACAATTTGGCAAAAACCTTCTGATGGTGAAATTATTCCTTTAGCCAAAATTCAAGTAAGTACAGTGTCAAGTACCCTATCAAACTGATCTATTGAGATGAGCAGTTGCATGCTCACTCATATCAACCCGTAGTATTTTTATTTTATTTTTTTTATTTTTGATTACAGCTTGATTCCACACTGTATTTTTGGTACAAGTATGGAATTTTCAGCATGGATATCGGTAGCCCAAATTTTGCAGGCCGACCATAGATATCAGGTGTGCGTCGGCAGGGGATCGAACCTCGGACCATGTGCATGGTCGGCGAGAGACCTAACCACTGTGCCACCGACGCACAAAGTCGGGCTCAGCCGGTAGTACACTGGATGGCCGATTTTCTCTGGTTTGGCGCCGAGCTCATCAGCTGTGTCTGTCTGTCTGCACCAATATGCAGCAATTCAAGTTGCCACACTCCATGTGACACACAAAGCAAGAGAGGAAAGTAGAAGAAATACACAATAGAGACAGTAGACAGAAATATGATACAAAAGGAATAGTAATAACGAAGAACAATATTATTTTATCGGATATTGTAAGTCACAAGGACTGCCATGTTCTGGTTTGACCGCCGCCAGCTCTTTTTCAGCCTGACCCTATGTCAACTGACACTGCCTGTCAAGGAAGGCGATAACTAAGCATACGTAACACATGTCCTAAGCATCTCAGTCGATGTGGCTTCACAGCCTTGTTGATTGATTTCCCTTACCACCTACCTAGCACTCGACCGATGTCTAACCTCAACATTGCTCATCCTATTATACCATTTCACACGAGAGACAGAACGCAGACCCCATGATCAAAGACAGCTAACCAGGGTTTTCCTGTCTTCCACTCTCAATGGTCAGGTCTCACTTCCATAAAGGAACCTTTTAGTTATAAGGCAAGCTCGTATAACATTCAGCCACTGGGACCCAATTCACTGGCCAGCCCATGAATTCTAACTTCTACCAATTCGTGATTTAGCGCGACCCTAACCAATCCCGTCGGTGGGACATCCATCCTCACACTTTACATTTGGATAGGTCTCATTGGTCACGACTTCTCACTAGAACTCCAGGAAACTCCATCCTGTAGCAAGTCACTCAATAGCGAGCATCAGATTAATTTCCTATGATTGTTTTGTAAGGATTAGTTTTGTTCTTACGTGTTGATCACGGATTGGTAGAAGTTGGAATTCATGGATTGGCCATTGAATCGGGTCCCAGTGAGTGGCTGAATTATATACGAGCTTGCCTTGTAATCGGAAGGTCCTGGGTTCGAAACCCAGTGGATGCGTCCTGCCGATGATTCCCGAATTATTGTTATTATTATTATAACTGTCACTACTAATTTTACTCGGTTCTCTATTCTTGATATATTTAAGTTCTTTCTCCAATGACTAATTGTTTATCTAAGTAATGTAATTAAAGCGCAATGCATTTTATCTTTTATCTGTGAAACTTCCCCTTACCCTTATCTACTTGAACATGACCTGAAAATCATTCACACTTGTCGTTTTGCATGATTAATTCAATGTAATTTATTTGCTTATCAGTTTTATCTCCCAGTCTGTCTGTCTGTCTGGATTCAAAATAGAACTTCGCACCGAAGTGCACCAGTTCAACTTGCCACGTTCCAAATAGCACACAGAGGTAGACAAGAAGATGAGTGGAGAGAATCAATACAGTCTGACAAGTATAAGAGTGAAACAGAACGGGTAATGGTAGAAAGGAATATGAAAGATTACAGAGACTGAATACATCTGCGCTGGCCATTGACAACGGTCACTTTGAGCAATGTCACCTATTGTCTTCAGCCATTGATTCCTAGAGTCCCGAGGGCCCCAACCCGGAAGTCTGCATCTCGCTACCTGACCGACTCAGTTTAACTGTCAAGGATTTCATGGATTGATGAGGCCATGTTTTTGTTTGGCCACCACTGGCTCTTTTCCAATCTGAACCTATATCAGCTAGCAATGCCCGTCGGGGGAGGCGGTGGTTAGGCATGCGCAGCACGTGACTTATCTCCCAGTGTCATTGTAATAGTATATATATATATATATATATATCCCTGTATGTAAAGTATTCAGCAGCTGAAGAGTTTTACCGAAATTTGATAAACTCATTAAATCCTACTTTATTAACCACATTTGTTCCTTGTTTCAAAACCTGAGGGTTTAGTAGATACGAGAAATTATAGAGAGTAAATGTATGTGCACCACTGAGAATGATTTTGATTCTGTCATTGATTCTTAGCACCTCAAGGACTTCAACACCCTACTAGGTAGCTGGATTGTACTAACAATCAGCTTTTGGTTTAACTACCGTTAACTCTTTTCCAACCTAGTCTTATTTCAGTTAACATTGCTCATCAAACAAGTCAATGGTTAGACATGCATAACACGTCTCCTAGCCATCTCAATCGATGCAACTTCAAAACCAGGCCGACTAACTGTTCTGGGAGATTAAGTACACGTCCATGAAGAACTGGATTTCTGTTAAGCCTTGAAATCAACACTCTCCTGTGCTCTCTAATTAAGTGGGTATAATTGAAAAATCCCTATTAGATTTCGATTCCATGTATAATACATACACACATATGCATACATGCATGCATACATGTGTGTTTGCTCTTTAATTCTGCACACTTTATCTCTAGTACTATATGAATTGATCTTTCCTTTTTCAATTTCTATTCTACACTTTATTGATTACACAATATTATTATTACTACTACTACTACTACTTTTTTTTATTATCTATTATCACATTGTCCATTTTCTGTTTATGATGAGGGAGCGGAGTGGAGGGTGGGTGGTGAGGCGCGGGGGTCTACACTTCACTAGTGAATGTATCAGTGTATCCTAAATTGTGTTTACATTTTGAAAAATTACAAGATGTACACAGGTGTGTGTGTATGTGTGTGCGGATGTGTGTAGAGAAGGCAGAGAGAGAGAATAGATGTAATATGTAGTTTATGTAGATGTATAGAAATGAGTTTCACTAAACCTTTTTGTAATTATTTGGTTCAAGTTATTCTATATCTAGAATATATATATATATATTCACTATTAAGAGAATTACCTGTTTATGATGACCGTGGCAGGGACAAGGGTTGGACGTATTTGTTTTGAAAAAAACAGTGTGGGTTTGAGCTTTTGGATGGCTAGTGCCTCGACTATGCCCAGATGTCTCAACTTTACTCCCTTTGATAGGTTTGATCGAATCTTGTATATGATTTTTTGAAGGATTTTTCGAATCTCACTGAATGTCCTGAATTGACCAGATGTTCTGTCACTGAACTGTATACACGTTTTCGTTCTCCTTTTACTAGCCAGGTTAGATAGTGTTCACGAGCGCGTTTTTCAAGTTGGTGGATGGTACGACCGGTGTATTCAGCTCCATACGAGTGAGTTAACTGGTATAGGCACGTTTAATTGGCTCAATTCGACAGCTTGTCTTTCGCGTTCTGGTTGAAGAGTTTCTTGCAGGAAAACTTCAGTCGTAGGCTTGTGGCGAAGTATGTTTTTCTTAGAGACTTAAAAAGTCATTTACGAAGGATTTCTGCTTCAGCGTCACCTTTGAATTCTAGATTAAGCAGAAGTATCTTCTTGGGGATGGATTGGACTTGTTCAAAAGTCTTTTATTATTTCCGATTCTTGTCTATGAACCTAGGCGGAAAACCGTTTTCCATCAAGGTACCTTGGAGATTACGCAGTTCTTCGTCAATCACTTCCTCGCTGCATATCTTCCAAATCCTCAAGGAGAGAGCGTTTATAAAGTCCCTCTTTTTGCTCATGGGTACGAAGCTTTGAAAATTGATGAATTGTTAATTCCATGGAGGCTTTTTGTATATGGAAATTGTCAAAGAGTTGTCGGCGTTTTTTGTCGGATGGACGTTGTGTAAATGAAACATTCCATCGGATTCAGCTTCAAGAGTAAAGTCGATGTATTGGTGGACATTGTTGAAGGTTTGAAGTAGGTTTCCAAGGTCCAGGTTCAGCCAGAATGCGATAGACAAGCTTTCACACTGGGCCACCTCAACAGACATATACCAGTTAACTCACTCGTATAGAGCTGAATACACCGGTCGTACCATCCACCAACTTGAAAAACGCGCTCGTGAACACCATCCAACTTGGCTAGCAGAAGGAGAACGAAAATGTGTACATAGTTCAGTGACAGAACACCTGATCAATTCAGGACATTCAATGCGATTCGAAAAATCCTTCAGAGAAGCATATACAATATTCGATCAAACCTATCATCTGAGCATAGCCAAGGCACTATTCATCCAACAATTCAAACCCACGATATATACATATATATATATATATATATATATATATATATATATATATATATATATCTGTTTCTATACCAGCGGTTGCTCGACGGGCAATGTTAGCTGACATAGGATCAGGTTGGAAAACACCTAGTGGTGGCGGCTAAATATGGTTTAACCAGTCAGTCAAATCCACAGCAGTTAGTCTAAGCCACGTTGGAAGGTGTAGACTTCCAGTCTGGTTGAGGTCCTCGGATCGGTAAAGACCAATAGCTGGTTACAATCGGTGATATGGCTCAAACTCATTCTCAATGGCAGGCGCAGATGTATCCACTCCTTGTGACTTTTAATACCCAATGAAACTATGTTGTTCTTTGTTATTACTATTCCCTGTCTACTGTCTCTATTTTGCATTTCTTCTACTCTCTTTTGTATCTTTGTGTGCTACATCGAGTGAAGTGTGGCGACTTGAACTGCTGCACATCGGTGCAGAGTTCAATGTTGAACCCAGTCAGTCAGTCCAGCGCTTGCTTCTCAGTCAGATTGTCCCAAAATGAATAACTTTTTATTAGAAATTAGTGATTGGTAGTCCTTGTGTAACAACAGAAGACAAGGGCCAGGCAACAGATCGTTTTATTATGAAAATCAACACGTATTTATACATCTTTCAACTACATTATTATAGACAAGCACAGTCATCTGATTGGTTGTTTAGGTAGACAAACGCAGGCTTCTGATTGGTTGTTTCGGGA